CCTATCAAAATAATTTTTTGAAACTTTGAGCAAAGATATCTCGACAACTACCAGACCAAATTCGATGAAGTTTTTTATTCGAATCTTCTAAACACATATAATCAAAATAAAAAAACTTCATCGAATTTGATCAGGTGGTTGTCAAGATAACTTCACTTAGAGTTTCAAAAAATCCATCAAAATAATAGTTTTGCCAAATTTTTTTAAAACTTTAAGCGAAAATATCTCGACTTTCACTTAATAAATTTTATGGATATTTTTTTATTTGAATCCTTTATTATCATAGAATTCAAATAAAAAAAAATTCATCAAATTTGATCAGGTAGATATCGAGATATTCTCGTTCAAAGTTTTTAAAAATTATCAAAATAAAGAAACTGTGCCAATTTTTTTAAAAACTTTGAGCGAAGAACTCTCGACAACCACCTGATCGAATTCGATGAAAACTTTTTTATTTAAATTCTATGAATATAAAGAATTCAAATAAAAAAAGAATCATCGAATTCGATTAGGTGGTGATCAAGATATTTTCGCTCAAAGTTTTAAAAAAATTTGGCGCAGCTTTTTATTTTGATAGACGTTTTTGGATTTTTTGAAACTTTGAACGAAGTTATCTTGACAATCACCTGTTCAAATTCGATGAATTTTTTTTTTTATTTTGATTATACGTGTTAAACAATTCAATAAAAAACTTTAATCGAATTTGGTCTGGTGGTTGTCGGGATATCTTTGCACAAATGCTTAAAGAATTATTTTGATAGGCATTTTGTGGTTTTTTTTTAACTTTGAGCAAAGATATCTCGACAACCGCCTGACCAAATCCGATGAATTTTTTTTATTCAAATCAACTAAAATTATATAATCAAAATAAAAAAATTTTATCGAATTTGGCCAGGTGGTTGCCGAGATATTTTTGGTCAAAGGTTTTGTTTCTAAGGGGGGTATGGTTATTAAATGTGAGGGGTATGAAAATGGCTCCCTATATTATTTAAATAAATTTGAATATTTTATTTTTTTTTAATATTTTAAAACTAAACATCACTGCAGGGATTATCACTCCATATAAATTTTTTAAAATTGAAGATTTGGGGTTAGGTTTAGGTGGGTTAAATTGTATGTAAAATTTTATGCCAAAAACTTTTACTTAGTACACAAATTTTGTTCGCAGAAAAATATTTCGCCATCTAAGGTTTACTAATATTTTAGTTACATGAAATCCTGTAACCTGATTGGTTGCATTGTTTCGGGTTTCAGATTTTTTAAAAAATCGAAACTAGTTTCGGATTATACCGTTTCCGAAACAGGTTTCGGGTAGGTTTCGTTTCGCCCGGACGTTGATAGCAAAAATAGTTAGCAAAAATAGCCGGTGAAATTAGCAAAATTTATTATATATTAATAAGCATAAATTTTAATGTAATCATATTTTTCTTCTGTGAGTTCTTCATCTGTAAGTTCTTCGGTCATCATATATAATTACAGATTGCCGGTTTTTTTGTGCTCTAAACCAATAGTAAAAACAACAAGATAATATATTATCAGTATATTGTACGTAGTTTCAGAAACAGAATATTTAACTATATATAGATAAGAGATTCATCCTTATATAACTGTGACGTACGTACGTACGGGGATCAAGGAACCCAGTGATATCTTCATGATAATCACATCACATGATCAAGTGTTCGGCCTACATTAGGGTTAGGTGATAGGTTAATTTGTTAGTGCTAGTAAACAAATGACTCCTTATTTTTCGAGCGTCCTGCTTTAGCTAGTTACGGCTTAAGTCGCCTGCACCTCTATTTCGTAGTATGTATCTTATTGGTATTTAAATCAACTTAATTTGGGCGTGTCTTAAAATGATAGATCAGTGTGATTGCCAATTAGGGAAGTGTATCGCGCGAATCAAGTATATATAAAGGAATAACAGCTTGTTTACAACTAAGTATACTTCATCGCCACCTTTCCTATCGCTATAGAATAACATGGGGAAAAAAAATACGAACACTCTAATGGAAAAAAAAGAGTCAAAAAATTTAACCAACAAGCTCTTCGAATCTCGAATCACTCTTAATATTAGTCCTGTTGCGATCATATCGTTACTCATACTACTTATATCTCTAGCGATTGCATGGGACAAATATAGACAGCAAGCTACTTGTCAAATATTAACGGGTGATTATGAAGACAAAATCCAGTGGATATCCATTCCTGATCATAAAAACGCAGAGAGTTATCTTTCGTTAGATAATGGTGCTTTCGTTTACCGTCATATATATATGGATGAGTTTGAAAAAGAATTTAATGTGAAGCCATTAAATTTTCCAGTATGTACTTTATGTATTTAATCATTTATACGCTTTAAATCATAATTAATGGTTTTTTAATACGGCTAGACTATTGACCCGGATATAGCACCTTATCTTGCAAAGCATAATCTTAGAGCCCGAATATTAAATAATAGTGAAATTAGTGAAGAAGCAGCTTCAGCAACTTTTACAGTGTCAGAGAATTATGCACCCCTTATAGAAGATATAAAGTTTAAGGTCGAAAATGGAACATATGTTGATGATGGACGCGTATATATTCGTTGGGTTAATGATATCGTAAGATGGGGCATGTTTGCTGGTCGTTCTTTCCAACCAAATGATATTATAGGGATCTATGCTGGTGTGTATACATTTATACTTCTACTAACTAAAAAATAAAAAATACTAAGTTTTGCAAATTTTAATTAACAGGGTTATTAACGCGTCAACTTTATGATGTTGAGTATGGTACGTTAGGAAGTTCTAGTACTACAGTCAGACCTCGTTATAGTCACAACCTTGATATAATCACATTAATTTTTAACTCGAGCTAATATAAAACATATAAAATAATCACCAGAATCTTGTTTCCCAAGCTGGTGATTATATCGAGGTTTGACTGTAAATATAAAACCTTATTTTATTTATTGAACTCATATAATTATCTAAATATATAGCTTGGGAATTCAATTATCTTGTGGATGTTGTAGATGAAAATAATGAAAAAGTGAGGGTTTGTATTGATGGAAAAAATATGGGAAATTATATGCGATTTGCTAATCATCGTGACGGTAAGTATTATTCTTTAATTGATATATTATTAAAAATATAATTTAAGCACAATTTCTTAATTTTTGAATAGAAAACCATAATGGTGACCAACTTTATACGATTTATGATGATATTTGGTACGTGCTCTATATAGCACAGGATGAAATTAAGGTGAACGTTGATTCTTATTCATTCTGTTAGAACTACTTATAGTTTACATTACTAAAATCCTGATATATATATATAGCTCCACGAACAAATATTCGTTAATTACGGTCAAGCATACTGGGAAAGCAAACAAAAATACGAATTTAATTAACTTAGTTTAAATAAAACCTATTATAAATTCATAAATATAAATAGTAATGCATACAAAAATTATTGAAAAATTCAATTCATAGATGAAATTTAGATTAATGCAAACAAACTAGATTATTAGTACTTCAAAAGTAATTTATGCACCTTTATACTTCTATTTTAATTTTTCTAGATCATTTATATCTTCTGATATATACAAGGCAATTATATCTACGATGAGCAATTCGATCCGTACCAATTGCCATAATTGTAGAAACAAATGATAGAAAAATTCCGCAATATAGATGAACGACTGTAACAATCTGTGATTGTAAAATATATTGAGGTGAGTCAATAAAAATCAAGCAAATTTTTTATAATAAAAATTTTTATAACTTTAAGCAAGAATAACTTAACAAAAACTTGACTAAACATAATTAAAATTTTTTAAAATAATTTTTACAAACTTGTAGAATTAATTTTTATTAAATTTGGTTAAGTTTTTGTTAAGTTATCCTTGTTTAAAGGTTTAAAAAACTTATTAAAAAACATTTGCTTGATTTCTATTGACTCAACCCATATATCGAAAACAATAGAGAACTAATTGATAGTATTGTTGATATCATTGGATATGGTGTATAAGAATAAATCTTTCAGAAATCGGCAGAGGTATTGATGGAGAGATCGAATTTTTTATCAATCCATTAAAGAAAAATAAGTACCTATTAAATTGATTAAAAGGAATTATAATTTGAATGCGAGTGATTAAATATAAAATAACATATAGATTGTAATGGTTTACTTACAGTATCATTATCAATAATGAAAACACTAATTATTGTTTTAATACAAAAAAATAATCTAAGTAAAAAACAGACTTGATATTGTACAAAATCGATAACTTATATAAAAAAAAACTTGAAAAAATCATTGGCTCGGCCATTTTTTGTACGAAATTCCTCATTAAGTTCTTTTGCCCTATGATTAGGAAATGGATTCCAGGTATATAAATAAAAATAAAGGGGAAGTCAATTATGTAGTAGAAGTATGTATAGTTAAACCTACCATGTTCGTCTAAAAT